TCCATCTGCACTATTTTATCATAAAATTGTTAAAGGTGCCATATGCATGATAAACTCTTTATGCCGCATGCTTTAAAATACAGCTGTGCTAACTTGGCATGGGGAACACAATGGGTGCATAATTAGATTGCAAAAAGAGAATGGCCCAGCATAATTGAATACTGCATTGCACACATGCTGTATCAGTGATAAAGAAGAGTGTCCAAGATAAGGAAAAAGAAAAATATATTAAAAAATCTAGTTGAAATCATATATACTGTTTGTGTTCATGTTGATTTTTATTTTTTTTTTACCAACATAATATGGGTCACACTTTATTTAAGGACCATTTCTCACTATTAACCATTAACTACAACTAATTTGCTGCTTATTAACAGTTAGTAAGGTAGTTGTTAAGTTTAGGTATTGAGTAGGATTGGGGATGTAGAATATGGTCATGCAGAATATGCTATTAATATGCATGCTAATAAGCAACTAATTAATAGTGAGAATCGGTCCCTATACTAAAGTGTTACCATAATATGCGATCTTTTTATACCAAATTTAGATTTAGAAAATTATTAATTTATACAAATTACCGTCCATTTGGGGAGTCACACCACAATATATATATATATATATATATATATATATATATATATATTACAAACTATCAAATTAATTAATCCTGTCAATTTATCTGACATTTTAACCTGTTACAGTCGTAAGTTTCCTCTATGATATCGTTTGATATTGAACTGATTGATTTAAAAAGGTGCAGCATAGAAGAATAAATCTTTAATTCTAGTACATTTAATGAGCTGTCTTCTACCTTCATCTAAACACACTCCCCCATACACATTTTCAGTGAATACAAGTATCAACCAACTAAACAAGATGTGTTGAAGCGTAGTGCTAAAGCACTGATCCAGTATTGATCATTGGCCTGTTTTTAAAATAACACCAGCACAGCAGCCTGCAGATCACAGCCCCCAGGCTTTGACAGGATTGACATTGCATTTTGCATGCGATTAGGGGTGATGTGAGGGGTTGAAATGTCAGGGCTATTGGCTGTATGTGTGCATGGCCGGGTGCCATGTGCGCTGTTGCATGGGTGCTAATCTGAGAGATCTCTGATACGACTGAATTGATGGAGGGAATTAGTGTCAGGAGGGGTCTTGGATGTAAGACTTTAATTACAGGATGTGACCTCAGAGTTTGTGTGTGTGTCAGTAAGAAGACTGGAGCCTTTGTGGAAAATTGATTGAGATTTTATGTTTGGATGTTCAGTCACATTTAGGGCTGAATATTGAATATTCATGATATATTTGGAATGATTTTGCCGGAAATGCAAAATTAGGAATCATCATGAATATCCCAATGATTTGAATGCAAGCTTTTTATTTGGCCATTAACATTCTTCAAGCTGTGTCATTAGACTAGTTTCGCAATCCTTTCTCGCGTCGTGACTATGATTAAGACAGAGATACTTTAACGCAGCATCTGATTTGAACTTTATTAGTAAAAAGGGCATTAAGGTTGGCAAGTTCATATAAAATTCATAAATCTTTATTTATTTATTTTTAATTAATGCAAATGTAAAAAGGCTTTTATTTTGTCTCCCATGTATCAGCAGTGATATTGGGATTCAAAAACTGATTTGCCAGTGTAATGTGTGTTAGTGCAGGTATATGAATTTAACTGCATGCATGTAATGGTTAGCTATTTAAGCTAAATGATTTATGTCTCACCTTTGCAACTCCAGGGAGACAGCATTCACTCTTAGAAAGCATTTATCTGCTACTGAAGATTTTCAGAGTTCACTGCCACTGGTAGTGCTATTTATATTCAACATGTAGACCAATCTCCATATCCTTTAGGCCACATTGATTCATACTGGAGAATGCCTTGGCAAGTTGAGAGATTTTTCTGAAGGGATAGTAAAAAAAAAAAACAGCCTTTGCGATTTCCGTCCATCTGTCAGTCAAAGGTGTGGCGGGATTTTCCTGGCTGGTACTGTTTTGTGATACTTCATACCTTCTTTGCGAGTATTCAGTTCAGGCTTTCCAATTTAAATGCAAATTTTATAGGACATCACAAGGAACCTGAGACGGGTGCAAAAAATAATTCAGCACCAACGATGAATTATATATTTTAATTAACCAGTGAGGGAAATGCGTCTATTCAGCAGCAATGGCCATAAATAAGAAATGAATAAATAAATAAGACAGAAGATAAAGACGAGCAAAATGGGTCTCATTGAGCAGCATTATTATAAAATCTGCAGTGCCATGGGATGTCATTAAGAAAAGGACCCTGAGCTGTCAGACATCAAATGTATTGTTCTCTAGTTTGATGGGCTAAAAGCTACTTATGGCTGCCAGAAAGAGGAGGATTTTTGAAGAACTGACAGAGAGATACAATTTTAATTTCACTCCTGTCAGTCCATTTTTTTTTCCTCGAGTGCTGGAATATATATGAAGTGTCAGTCAACAGACTAAAGTATTTCTCTGCTTTACTCAAGAATCTCAACGGAATAGAGGGAAGCTTTGGTTTTATAAGCGGTGATAATTGAAAAATGTAAAAGTGCACTTCAAAATACTGAAAGTAATTTTGGACATACTTTAAATTTGGATGAATTAATTTAATGTGAAAGATTTATCAACTGTACCCTCTATTATGCTGTGCAACAATATTTGTGTAATATCCAGACATATGCTTGATTTCTGAGGGTTTATTGTCATCTCTATGTAAATGATGACCTGATGCAATGTTTATGATGGATTTTTGATGAATGACACACAGAGACAAACAAATGCAAAGACGTTATTCAGCGAGAATGTACAATATTGACTTTAGTCTGCGACATTGATCAAACAAAGAAAATAGTTTGCTCTCTCGTCTTCACACTTGTGTGTATGTGAACCTTGTGTTTAGTGAGTGACGGTTGCTGGGAAAATACAGCGTGTTGATAAAAGACAACCTAAGTATGCAGACCCATGAATCAGAATATAATAAGTAGCTGACAAAAGCTAAATATCCACAATATTAAACACCCACATCAATAAAATTATTGTGCAAATATTATATGCACATCACTTCCACTTAAGTCTGCGACGCCAGCCAAGACAAGGACGTTCTTGCCAGCAAAAACAATCAAGAACTTTTGCTGCAAGTGCGAGCTAGGTTCTCCACAATTAGTGAGACGGTGTTGTGCTTGCAATGTTAAATATATAAATAAAGTGTGTGTACATTTCCTTTCGCAAGTTAACCATCCTGATAATGGGGCGTGTTATAATTTCCTGTTTAACTTTAATGAATAACTACTGTTGGGATCATGGGAGACAATTAAACAAGTGAGTATACAAAAAACGAATGCTTGTATTCCATCCGTGGCTTTAAGTGTGCATTCATCCAGAAGAAAGTTTGTTATTCTCCAGTTATGAATATTCCCTGTCTCGCTCTGATGAATGCTTCTCTTTGTGTTTGTTTTAACTGTGGGCTCTTTTTAATGTTTTACATTCTGGTGTGCTTAGGGAGACAAATTGATTTCCTGACCCTACAATGTGTTGTCTTTGGTCTGGATTTCAAATGTTTCACTCTGAAGTCTTCCCATAGGAAAGAAAATCACCAAAGGGATCCTTTTAATATCTCAATTATTCTCCTCAACGTAAATGAGATTAAATGGCAGTCTTCTGCTACTCAGATATTCCCAGATTCAGATTTCCCAGTAATCTCACAAATGTCACCACTATGGTTTTAGAAGTGATCTTAGCAATGTTTCAAACTGTGGTAAGATTAGCTAAGATATGAAAGTTTTTAATCAGAGATCTTATTATGAACTCAATTCGCCAGTTTTTCCAAAACCAAACTTCAGCTTCACATTCTGCACCTAACAGCAGGCAAGGGATTTTTTGAAACTCAATTGAAAATGGTAATTATTTTTGCAATTCCGTTCGGTGCCACTTGTGGTGCAGAAATTACACACGGCACATTACAAACGAAACTGGAACTCTATTAAAGTTGCTGTAAGTGATTTCACAAACTTCCAATGTTTTGCTTACTCCAACCACATGCCCTCTCTCCAAAGCTTTGCCCTCCAAAGGCAAAGTCAGCTCGATGTCTCTCAAAAACCCATGAAAACTCAAAATGATTGACAGGCCTGGAATATTTCTGATTATAAGTGTAGGCTGTTTTGCTGTTCACAGGGCTGTCACAGGAACCGTTGAATTGATTGATCAAGACACATATTTCAATTATATATTCAAGGTAGTGGGAATATCTTGGCTGTTTGTTTGAGTGGCCAACAACGTTGACTCAACCAGTGAGTTTGGAACGAAACTACCTTTCAGGTCTTGAAATGTGTGTGTCACATAAGAAAGACATACAAACGCATAGGGCCTACAATTGGAGGTACTTCGGGAACCGGGTTAGGAAACATTGTCCCAAGTTATGACATAGCAATCGTTGATCAAAGAAAATTTCACCAGAGTTTGCTAGTGGAGAGAGTGAAAAAGAGAGATAGAAGGCCAGCTGGAGAGAGACTGTGAAGGACTTTATGATGGTCACTCCTGGATCCAAACATTCTGGCATTGTCTTTCCTTCTTCCTATTTCTCATCTAGGTCTGTCTATCCCGCAGCCAGTTGGGCAGAGAGAATATCAGTCCCTGAGGGCATTGGTTCCACTGATGAGATGCTATAAAGTAGGGAAGAGAGAGAGAGACGGATAGAGAGAAGTGGGGGCGGGGAATCAGGAGGCAGAGACACTGAAAAAAAGAAAACAAGCAAGTGAGAGAGAGAGAGAGAGAGAGAGAGAGAGAGATGGGGGCGGGGAATCAGGAGGCAGAGACACTGAAAAAAAGAAAACAAGCAAGTGAGAGAGAGAGAGAGAGAGAGAGAGAGAGAGAGAGGGAGGGAGGGAAGGAGGAAACTGTCCTCGTGTTGTCTTGGCATCGGTGCCACCCAGTTTCTCTCGGGCAGGCCAGAAGCCTTACGATCTACCTCTGTGTGTGTCTCCTCAGATGGCCAACATTGTGACGTCCTTCTGCTGTGTGGTGCTTGCAGCCGTGGTGGTGGTTTATGCCCAAAGGCGCAGCCAGCAAGGTAAGTCTATATTTTGGATACTTCCTCCATCTGTTGCAGGTCTCCGTTGTATGTGTTTGTACAGGAGCAAGTCAATTTCCTAATGAGATCAGTTAGACCTTTTGTAGATTAGGAATCAGTTTGTTCTTTTCTTGGTTATGTGTCCTGTCTTCTTTCTTTTTACTTGTCATTTTCTTTTGCGTCCCTCCTTCAATCTGTCTGTCGGAGTGGAACAGAGAAGTCACATTGTGAGCGGAGGGTCAGTATCACCTGACTGTGGGAAGGGGGGTGTGTGTGTGTGTGTGTGTGTGTGTGTGAATGCTGTTTAACGCATGGCCTGGCTGCCCGGAGACACAGAGACTAGCCTGTCACTGGGTCAAAAACTAGAGCTCCAGAACCAAGCAATCCTCGGAGTGCGTATGAATGTGTCTAAGTTTGGACCAGACATCTTATCTTGCTGGCTGTGATGGGTTCTCTCATGCTTGGGTGAATAAGCAGCTATGTTGTTTCTGCATTCCAATTCAGTGTCATTTTGTGAGAGAGCGTGGTGGAAGTGCTATCGAGACATTCTTGTTTCGTTGGAAGCTACTGTCATTTTCTGAGTTATTATTCAAGCTGGGTACAACAGCATATTACGCCGTTTCCTAACCAGGTGCAACTCAAGTTTCCATCAACAAGTAATTTGTCTGTCCATGGTGAAGGCAAAGCGCTACACAATCACAGCCAATCAGAACATATTTTATGGTGCTTGCACACTGGAGAAAGTGTTTGATGGAAAGGAATGCATACAATACATTTTAAGGGTTTGGAAAGAGTGAGACAGTTACAAATGAAGAAGGAACTGCTAATTGGATGAACTGACTGCAACAGCATTGCAGTAAAAGTGTTTGGTCGCATGACAAAAGATCATACTTTAGTAGATTTTAGTGTTTAGTCCTGCTCCTGGATGGCCACCTTCCAGCAGAGTTTATCTCTAGCCCCAGTTAAATTCACCTGAACCAGCTAATCAAGATTTTATGGATAACTTCCTGGCAAGTGTGTTGGAGCTAAACCCTTTATGGATATTTACCCTTTAGGAGCAAGATTTGGCACCCCTGCTCTATGTCCTTATGATGCCCTATCTCATTTGAATCAATGGATTCAAAGCATCATCTGATGCAATGTGAAAAACTTGACTCTAGCTTTGGGTAAAATGAAAAAAAAAAAAAGTTGGAAGAGTTGCAATAAATGCGAAACAACCTGAACCTTCAACTAGAACTTGGGATGGGATGAGAATGGGATGAGGTGTAGTGGTTAAAGACCTGGTCTTGTAATGGAAAACTTGTACCACCATTGGTACAAGCTTTGTGAAAAGCTTGTTTTCACATTGGGAAAGTCGTGGCCTAATGGTTAGAGAGTCGGACTCGTAACCCAAAGGTTGCGGGTTTGAGTCTCGTACCGGCAGGGATTGTAGGTGGGGGGAGTGAATGTACAGCGCTCTCTCCCACCTTCAATACCACGACTGAGGTGCCCTTGAGCAAGGCACCGAACCCTCAACTGCTCCCCGGGCGCTGCAGCAAAAATGGCTGCCCACGGTGTGTGTTCACGGTGTGTGTGTTCACTGCTGTGTGTGTGCACTTTGGATGGGTTAAATGCAGAGCACTAATTCCAAGTATGGGTCACCATACTTGGCCACATGTCACGTCACTTCACTTCATTGCGACTGATCTAGACTAACCCAGTCCTGCTCTTGGACAGCCAACATCCTGCAGAGTTTAGCTCCAACCCTAATTAAACCCACCTGAACCAGCTAATCAACGTCCTCCAGGCAGGTGTGAAGCTAAACTCTTGGAGCAGGTTGAAGCTAAACTCTGCAGGATGTTGGCCCTCCGAGCGCAGGACTGGGCAGGCAGAACCTCAGTGTTTTTCCAGGGGGACTAATTTGTACTATATATTGTACTTTAAGTCACTTTCAAAAGAACTGTCAGCTAAATGACTACTTACTAAAGAAGAATTGCCGACCTTACGCCAGCCAAAACTGCAGATGTAGCTTCAGATGGGAGCACTGTTTGAGAGTGATAAAGCATCTTCTTGGATGTCTCATGCTGTTGTCATCCCCCCACACCCCTGCGGCAGCCCACGTTTTGTTGAAGCGAGGCTCTCACTAAAGCTGATTACATCGCTATAATGCCTAGTCATTGGCATGTGTTTCTCTGGCAGGGCAGTTTGATACGGTGATGTCATGGTGGGGTGACATCGCCACGTCATCCATCAGCAGTGCTGCTTATCTGCTTCTACATGTGTTCTGATTGGTCAGCTGATCGTGTTTAATCTAGACAGCAGTCATCACAAACACAAACCATGCAATGCCAGTTAAGCCTTTTGCATACGCACACACACACTTAAAAGTGGGCTCAGTGAACACTAGTATATAGACAGATGGGAATACAGATGGACCAACAAAAAATATGCAAAAACAGAAAAGAGAACTGTTATATTACAGTACACAAATATGTAGAGTGTGCACGTGCACACAGACTCACACAATATTTGTGCTTAATGCATCATTAGGATAGGTAGTTGTTGATAAATATGTTTTAAAATTAACCAAGACACAAGCAGTCAGTGACTTAATAACAAAATGTTTCTTGTTGACTAATTATAACAAAATTCTATTTGACATCTTGGAAAGTCTTTATTTGTATTCTGTCATTAATTTACTTATTATAGATTTAATAGCATGCCACTTTTTCTTATAAGTATTTTTTTTTTCTGGAATCTCTGTGTTTATTTTTATTTATTTATTTATTTTTCCTTTTGGGCAAAGCTTGATACTGCACCATATATTTGTTTCAGTGAAAAATTGTCAAAGCATCCTAATTCAGCTTCAGCTGGCTCTCTTCTCATGATCATGCAAATGTGAGTAATTGCATTAGAGCTTTGTAAAACTTCTAAGTTGGGTTAGTGTTAAACAGGGGCTGTTGCTGGCCCTGACATTTAAGTAAAATTGAAGACCAAATGACATTCCAAACAAAGAGTTCAGGTTCATATAATCTTGCCAATCACAAAGATAAGGGTGTAAACCCTGGTTTTGCCAAGAACGAAGTGTTCCTGCATCAACATCTTTTGTTAGTCCCGGAAAAACATTCCAGGCAAACAAACATAGTTTTAACCCTATCTATAACCCATGCCTAGACAATAGCTACCTAACCTAAAAGCAGATTGAAATGATAGGTTAAGAATGTCATTCAAGCTCCATCACCTCCTGCATTCCATCTAAAAACGGATGAGGGGTATTCCTAAAATGTCTGACTTCCGACATTACACTGTTTGCTCATGAATGGCATGCTATTGTTAGCTTTGCAGGTGTTTCAACAAAGAAGCCTCCTGCCACCCTAATTGCACAAGATAAACAATGCTATATAATCTTAGCATATGTTCTGCAGGTGTATGAGTATAAACATAGCGGATCATTTACAGTGTTTAACCCACCTGTCTCCGCAAACATTTGCTAAGTAGGTTTAATAATCACACCGTGCAGGAGCTTATTGATTGGTACCGTACGCCCACATATCACATAAAGTTTTCAAGTTTCATTTTAAGTGGTTTTCTATTTTATTCTTGTTAAATGTTAAATGGAACTCAGCATAAGCCTAAACCTTATCTGATTGGTTGACCCAAGATGTTGATCCAAGACTATTAACAGTAAACAGTGCGCTTCGTTTTCCATCTGCTGTTACATCTTGTACACAGTTGAGTGTTTATGAGTACACTTCACTGACCATGAGCTTATGTGTATGATCCATGTGCACTGAAACTGTGGACCCTATGATGAAGAAATGTATGTGAAACATAGTATCCTATGCACAAGATGTAGCAGCACACGGACAACTGAATTTCAGTACACTTTCACCTTTATGCATTCTTCTTGTACATCATGCAGCCCAGACCAAATTGTAATTAATTTTGTATATAGTTTAATTCCGTAACAGAAAGAGTTAAAACGTTCATTTAAAATATACATGGCTTTGCACATGCTGTACACACTAACTACAGACACTGGAAAGTTCAATGCTGTGCAATTTTAAAGGGGACATATGATGTTGCTAAAAAGAACATTATTTTGTGTTCAGCGTCTTCGCAACATGACGGCGGAGGTGGCAGCAACAATAAAGTTACTCCTTCTTTCTTTCCGTGAACATTTGGGCGGCGTTATGCAAATCTTGCCACACATCGTGACGTAGACATGTGGGGGTGTGTTTAAACGAGGCGTTTTAGGAGGGCGTGGATGATTCTTGACTTTAATAAAGAATATCGCTTTGGGTTTGAAACTTTAGTCTTTGCAACTTTAGGGATCTTATCTATGCACGAAGAGCTTGTAACACTCCAAAGAGAAAGGAAAACTTGAAATCGCATCATATGACCCCTTTAAAGTTTGTTGATTGGTTATTTGTTCTTCAATCTCTTTTCAAGTCTGCGTGAAGGGGCCGGGGCTTATCATCTTTGCGCAATTTGCACAATGAGTAATGAGAGTTGTATAAGAGCTTACTCATAATTCCCAAACTAAAATAAAATAAAATACACAACTGACCACTGCTTCTGCGTTGTTTTATCGCTAATCGTGATTAGCATATTAGCATGCTCAAACCCTTTGTGGAAGTATCTTTTTTTCATGTTGTATTTATTTATTATGTGAAATTAACACTGTATATTGATTATATCAGTAATTAAGCCATCGTATACAGAAAAAACGAACTGTTGTTTTTTTGGTGGACAGTTTAATGATCCTTTAATTTTGGCTAACTATTCTGTAATTGCAAAAACCCTGTTTAGACATTTAGCTCATGTATATTTTGAGTATATTCACATATATTTAGTAGGTAAATCACCATGAAGTATATTCTTACTTGAAGGCAATATTGATGAACGTAATTTTACAATTTGACACCTGTGTTGATGTCAACGTATATCGTTACACGAGTTTCTTACTCATATCGAGAAGAAATAGTACAATATTTAAGCATGTAAACTAACGACTTAAC